TTACTGCTTATTAGTTATGAAGTTAAACTGCATATATATTTTCAGCTGGAGAATATACTGTTTCACTTTTATGTTACAAAAAGTTTAATTTATTTTTCTGTCTATATAATACGTTTTTGTGAAAAATCTATTTTTTATACCTATAGCATGTCAAGCTTGTTTCAGCCATCATTTTCTTTTAATGGTCTACTGAGTGTAGTGATTTATATATGACTTCTTTGCTTACCAACTAATTAATAGAAAATGAAGTAGTAATCTAATTTGCCAAACTACCTTTTTTTGTTATTAAGATTCTCGCCATATATACTCGATACTTGTCATGATTTTGTGGCTTTCACACATAAGAAGGATTGAAATTTCAGCTCTATGCACCAAGTTGAACATTTAAGTTGTACTATATTGTTCCTGTTTAGAAGTTGTGAAATTAATGGGTGTTGGAGTTTCCTTCTAGTCTTTTGTAGAAAATATTTGACAAATATGAGCCTTATTTACAATTAAGAAGAATGCTCTAATTGCCAAGTACAATAAAGCCCAAAGAGACCAACATTATCTTCCTAGATTTATGGGAGTATGGAAAGTCAAGTTTTATTTGTTTTCAACTTATCTTGTCAATTATAAACTTATTCATGCTTCTTATACAACTAGTTAAGTTAAATACTAAGAGTCTAGTTTCTCACGTTTTCTATAGATTTTAAAATGGTTTTTGTAATTTCTATTGATAAACCCTAAGCACCTAGTTAAGAATGAATGGCTTTACTAATAACACTTTCACCATTTGTGGGATAACACTTTCCTTCTAGTTATTCAAATACAGAATGAGAAGATAGATTGTTGTTGAATGGGTAGACTATGTGCTAGGGTTTTCATGTAGAAGAATCTTCTTAAACATGTGTCCTGATGAATATATAAAAAGAAATATAGCCATCAACATATTCATTTCTTGATATATGATCACATTATCTCTATTGGTTTTAAATAAAGAAACAAGCCTTTTGACACATTTTTAAACTTCAAGATGATTGTTTGTGATAGTGTGCATAGTGTGAGGCTGTGAATGACTATGGAATCCATGTTTAGATCTATTACTAAATAAATTAGAGATTATGAAGTATACATGCTGTTTTTATACAATGCCCACTGTTTTGAATAAGATTTGCATTCGGAATGCTACTTAATTCATAAATGCCACAATGTCGTTTGCTAGCATATATGCATATGTAAAGAGTGGGTGGTCCCATTATAAAAATTCCATCTGGTTATTAATCTAGATGTGAAAGTAAGATACCTTTTGTATTTTGATTTTAAGAAATCATATGGCATGAAAGTAATGAAATTATGATATTGAACCATGGAAAAAACTAGTACTTGTTGGTTGATGCTATATTGGTCATCATCTCTATAACTTGTAGAGTTTGAGCATAAATTGTGATTGCCATGGATTTTATTCATAAATAGTCTTGAACAAGATAAATCTTGGCAATGGTTAGTATGCAAATGAGTTATCATTCCTTAAAATGGTTATTGATTATAAATGCTTTGTAAAGCTCTTTGCATACATTGTTTTATAACACATGCGGGTGGCATATTTTGAAACTTCATGGAAGCATGAAAACATGGTTTTATGTTGCTGGGAATTAAGTATGGTTTTATTACCAATTGACTATATTTAAAAAGCATGAGTTGGCGTTAACGATCTTAAAGTTATAGCATGATTTTAAAAGCATACTTTGGCACCAAAACAGATTTGGTTTAAATTAAAGCCATTCATGGGCAGTTTCATGACCATTATTAATATTTCAAGATCTTTACTATTTTTAAAAGCATATGCAAATGATTGATTTAAATGCTGTTCACATATATATTATTATCATGGCATGTTCTTAAATTACAATTGGATTTAAACCCCTTGGTTTGCATGATAACTTTCAAAGAGAAACTATCTTAGGTTTAGGTCTTGAGTTACGACAGTAGGTGTAGCCTTTGTGAACAAAAACTAAACTTTAGAGAGAAAAACTAATATTATTTTGGGTGTTAAAGTCATAAAATGTGTTAGTGGCCTAGTACCAACACAATAGCATTTTGTTGAGAGGCTATTTAAAGGTTTTGACATTTTAATATGACACATGTAAGTACTTTTTATTATGTTAATACCCAGTTAAAAAAATAAAAAAAATAAAAGTGATAGTGTGGCTCAATCTAAGTGTGCTTAGATTATTAGAGTCCGATGCATTTGATAAATTATACTCAACTTTATATAGCCTCTGTTGTGTGTAGACTGAAGAGATATATACAAAGTCCCAATCAAGATCATTAGACTGTTTTAAGCAAAGAAATGAAATATTTGAGAGGTACCATAAACTATAATATTTTAATAATGAATTTTTTGCTGTATTAAAAGGATACAATGATGCTAATTGGATTTAAAATTCAAACGATACTAAATCCACCAGTGAATATGTATTCACCCTTGGTGGGAGTGTTGTAACTTAAGTGCACACATTATGGTAAAAAAGGTCACATTAAGGAGAAATGCTATCGGTTGATGAGGTTCCCAAAAAATTTTAAATTTACTAAGACAAAGACAAGTTTCAAAAAAAAAAGGAAAGTTGTAGCAAACACTGCCATTGGTATGAATGACAGTCCATTTTCAACAATGTAGTCAAAACAGATAGATGAGTCAGTTGGTAATGGTCCTATGTCTCAATTGATAGCAATGAAGCAACAAGTCAACAAGCTCATGGAACTTTTCAGTGATAATGGGATAAATTGCAATGGTGGTAAGACTTCTTCACCAAAAAGGCCTCAACACAAACCATACTTGATCAACTTTGCCGTTGCAAGTATCGTATCCAATCAGCCTTGTTTCAACACTCTAAATAATTTGCCACATAGTCTTAAGCATATTAGTAACCTTATGATTAAATAAGATAGTTGGATCACGAACTTTGGTGCTATAAATTATATTCGTCATTCTTTAGAAAGATTTATCTTTGCTAAACCAGTTGATAACCATTTTGTAAACTTGCCAAACAATAACATCTCTATTAACACTCAAAAATGTCTTTGTGTTCCTAGCTTCAATTTTAACCTCATATCAATGAGTGAATTAACCAAATCAAAGGATTCATGTCTCTTTTTCACTGACAAATACTATATTATTCAAGATCTTCCATCATGGAAAGTGATTGGGGTAGTTAGGGTATTTTCAAGCCTTTATATGATCCATGATAACCAAGTTGAACAAAATCCCTCTCATTTTTGTTTTAAAAACTTTGTTAGAAATGCTTTTATTTTTTTTGTAAACTCCTCCAAGCCAAAGTATATAGATTTTGATATATGGCATTTTAGACTGGGGCATGCTTCAATAGAAAGAATTAATCTGTTACATCAAAGTTTTCCAAAAATTAGCTGTTTGAGTGATTTGTTATGTGAAGTATGTCCAATGGCAAAACAAAAAAGATTGCCATTTTCAGTTCATGTTCAAAACACCAAAGCAGTTTTTGAAATTGTTCACATAGATATATAAGAACCTTATGAAGTTTCTACTTTGAATAAACATAGGTATTTCTTAACTATTGTGGATGATTTCTCATGTTTCACTTGGATATACTTAATGAAACCTAAGTCAAATATGTCATCAACGATACCTGTTTTTACTAATCTTGTTTAAATCAATTTGACACTTTCATAAAATGTTTAAGATCAGACAATGGAAAAGAATTTGAACTCATTGATTTTTATAACAAAAATGGGATTGTTTATCAACTATCCTACATTGGTACACCACATCAGAATGGTGTTGTGGAAAGGAAACACCAACACATTCTAAATGTGGCAAGAGCCTTGAGACTTCAGTCAAATGTACCACTTAAATTCTGAGAAGATGCAGTCTTAACTGCCATACATATAATCAACAGAGTATCGATTAAAGTTTTACAAAACAAATCACTTTATGAAATACTCTTCAAAAGGCCACCTTCATTCAATCACTTCAAGGTATTTGGATGTCTATATTTTGTCTTAACACAATTTTAACATAGAAAGAAGTTTAATAGCAAGGCCACCAAATGTGTTTTCATAGGTTATCCAAACCATGTCAAAGGGTACAAAGTATATGACCCTCAAGCTAAAAGAGTCCTAATATCCAGAGATGTTGTTTTTCATGAGGATACTTTCCTTTTTCAGTATACAAAGCATGGTAACCAAGATATTGCATTTCATTAAACACTTGACATGCATGTTGTTCCTTTTGATATTTTTGATTCAAATCTTGTCAATTCTCATTCATTTGATCAACCTCAACCTAAATTATGTCCTAATGAACCTTCACCAACTTCATAATAGAATTTCAAACCAATAAATGATGAAATTTCTCAAAATTCATCATCTAGAAACAGTTTGCCTGATAGCAACAATACTAGTCAATCTAAAACAGACCATAATCCTGATCCAATTTAGCCAATTAGAAGAAGCACAAGAATGAAAAATACCAAAATACTTAAAAACATACCAGCTTGATTTTCCTTCTCATACTAGTATTATTACTTCACATCCTATATCTAAATTGATTTCTTTACATAGTTTGTCACTAGCACATTAAGCATTTACTGTATCTTTGTCAAACATACAAGACCCTATATCTTATCATTAAATAGTAACTCATTCACATTGGAAACAAGCAATGGCTATTAAACTAAAGGTTTTAGAAGAAAATAACACTTGGAGCATAGTACCTACTGATTGTCTTACTATTGGTTGTAAGTGGGTTTACAAAAACTAAGCAGAACGAAAAGGGTGAAGTAGAAAAGTACAAGGCAAGATTGGTGGCAAAAAGATATAATCAAGTAGCTGGCTTTGACAATCAAGAGACCTTTAGTCCTGTGGCAAAACAATCTACAGTGAGAATATTTCTTGCACTTGCAGCTACAAACAACTAGACACTAAAGTAGTTAGATTTAAGTAATGCATTTCTACATGGAGATCTAAATGAAAAAGTCTACATGAAGCTACCTGAAGGATATAAGGTTAAGGGGGAGCATCCTAGTGGATCAAAATTAGCATGTAAACTCCACAAATCTCTGTATGGACTTAAGCTAGACTCAAGACAATGGAATGCTAAGTTAACCTCCTCCATCATTCACTATGGCTTCAAGCAATCATTGTGAGATATTCTTTATTCACCATGAATACAAGTGATGGTGATTTAATAGCTCTGTTGACATATGTTGATGATATTCTTATTGGCAGTACTTCTACTCAAGCTGCAGTTACTATAAAAGAATACTTAAGCTCACAGTTTAAGTTTAAAGATCTTGGCATAGTGAAATATTTCCTTGGTTTTGAGACAGCAAGGCCACCACAAGGAATTTCATTATGTCAAAGGAAGTACACATTTGACTTGTTGGAAGAGCATGGTTTTCTTGGAGCTAAACCAGTGTCAACACCCATTGATTACAATGTGAAATTAAGAAAAGCAAGCAAAGAATATAAGTTAGCAGATCTTACAAGATACAGACAGTTGGTGGGAAAACTTCTTTACTTGACTTTCATAAGGCCAAACATATCTTATGCAGTACAAACCTTAGCTCGGTTCATGGACAAGCTAGCACATGAGCACTATATAGTAGCCTACAAAGTACTTAAGTATTTGAAGGTAGCACCTGGTCAGGGAATTTTGATCAAAGCAAAATCTAACTTAAGGATTTTAGCATACTGTGATAATAACTAGGTAGAGTGTCCAGAGAGCAAGAAATCTATTACTAGATATTGTGTGTTCATTGGTGAGTCATTAGTAAGGTAAAAGTCCAAGAAACAGTAAGTGGTAGCACGAAGCTCAATTGAGGCAGATTAAGATCCATGGCAACCACCTGTTGTGAAGTAATTTGGATAAAAGGTTTGCTTGTTGATTTTGATATTCAACACAAAGATCCAATAAAACTTCATTGTGATAATCAGTCATCCATTTATATCAATCGAAATTTAATCTTCCATAAAAGGAAAAATCATATAGAAATTGACTGTCACTTCATTCGAGAAAAGATTTTGAGTGGGGTAATTGAGCCAGCTTATGTACCATCAGAACTACAAGTTGCAGATGCATTTACTAAGGCTTTGCAACCTAGACAATTTTAGAGATTGTTATACAAGATGAACATTCACAGTGTTCATGGTTCCTCTTGAGCGGGAGTATCAACAAAGGTCAATCTGTCAAATCATGAAGAAACAAGATTCAAATAGCAGCAAATAAATGCAGTAGCATACAAGAATACAATCTACTTTGTAAATAGAAAAGAAAATAAAGCTGAAACGCACCATCTCGACTATAAGAGATGATGAGAAGAAAAGAGGAAGCATGAAGCACACTGTTTCATTAAAGGAGAAGCAGCACCATTTTAGCTATGCTTTAAGTTACCGTTGATAGCTTTTTAATTGTTAGTTAGTGGAGTAATTAAATAGTTAGCCAGCCTATTTTGTCATTTTCTAATTCATTTGTGAAGTCCCTATATAAATAAACCCATGTATATAACTTTTCATGAAATGAAGGATCAATTATTTCCAAAATATTATCTGCATCATTCCTCATCTTTCATCACATAGTAGTTTTCTTTCTTCTTCTATTATTATCTAAAAAGCCTCTGTTTAGTGTGCTTGAAATAGAGGTTATTACAGCAGCCTTGCAGTATGCTTCAATTTTATTAACAGAGAAGTGGCAGCAATGACCAAACAGAAAAGCACCAAACAAATGATTTTGATTTGTTTAACTTCATTGTCATTGTTACAACACTAGTACAAAGGAAATCGAGTTTATAAGTAGAAAAGTAGCTCTAGAACCGCTTAAATTTTGGGTTGTGAATGGTGATGGTCTTGCTGCTTGCAAGTAAGAAAATCATTTGTAGGCAATTCAAGTCAACTCGAGAAACGCGGGAAGGATTAAAAATAAGAAAAGTTCAAAAGTATAAAAGAAGTAAACAAAACCGGCCAAAAGTTTGCAAAAAGTAAAGATGGCAGACCAAAGCGACAAGGGCCACTTTTGTTGCGTGATGACTTTGCGTGAGATTGCTTGTTGGCATTTCACGTGGAGAACAATCTTTTGTCACTTGTCAACGGCTACTTTTTTTTCATTTTTGTCAATGTCAATGGCTTATTTATCGATTGCTATTTTTTTTTCACCTCCATGTCACATACGAATCTCTTAAAATTATTATAATAACAAAAAAAAATCCTACTAAGTAGTTTCAATTTTGATTATAAAAAAAAAATATATATATATATAGTAGCATTTTCAACTTTGACATTGCAAAACGAAATGCAGCTAAGGACTAGACATAAACCAACGCTCTTTCATGTGTTTATGGTTTCCAATCCAAGGTAGTGACAATATTTTACATGGGATAATTATAATGCAAATTGATGTTTTAATTACCTGCAGGCTAATGATCCCAGTATAAGTTATTATTATTACTATTTTAAATTTAACAAATTAATTAAGTTCAATTTGGTTTTTTATTTGTAATATAAAAATAAAAATTATATTCGAGTCGAATTGAAATGAATTTTTATGTTATTTTTTATTTTTCACAAATAAAAATATTATTTTATTTTAAAAAATTTAAGATAACAAACTGAAGAGAATATCCACAAAATAAAAAGAATTACCTTTTTGTCTCAAGTAAACGGATTATTTCATTAAGCATAAAAAAGACTGATACAAAAACCGCGGCAAGCTAAGGAAAACAGCCAAGGTTGACCACACAAAAGAGACTCGTATCGTACCAACCCGCAACAGCACGCATATTCGACTTACACCCTGTACAAATATTATTACTTAGCTATCTTTTTTAAAATGGTATTTTTTTTGTTTATTAGCTTATTCATGAAGATCATAGGTAATACCCAGTATATTTGTATTTTTCTTACGTTTGTTTTCTATTTTTCTACTTAAAATTGTCTGGCCATAAATTAAGAAAATAATACCCTTTTTTACAAGTCATGAAATAACCCTTTCTAATTAATCAATTAGTATTATTTCGTAAAATAGTAGTGAAAAAAGTACTCATCAGTTCAGATTCCTGACAAATGGAGAAATATATATATATAAAATTAATGTTTTAACATACCCAAAATTAATAACTTGTAAAGCCGGAAAGATTTATGAGCCAGCACAATTACTATTTGCGTATTCTTATCGTTTTCACTTATTCAATTCATAGATTTTATTAAAATTATTTATTTGGATAAACAATTTATGAGTTAAAAAGAAGAAAATGAGTAACATTGTGAATATATTGCAAAAAGTGCATAACATAATGACTGTTTTAAAAACAAAAACCAACCCTTGCTCTTGACTCAAAATGTGCAATTAAATAAAATCATTATACTAAATATATATAGTTTGCATCACCAATAATGCAAGATCACAGACAGATATTGGTATAGTTCATGAGTTCTTAATTGATAATTTTTTTAAAAAAAGATATAAAATAAAAAGTTGACAAGATCCTAATTAATTTTTATAAGTCAAAGTCTAAATTAACATGTAGTTGATGTTGTTTATTTAAAAATTCTATAATATTAAATTATTTTTATTGTTATTATTATTTTTTTGCTCGGCGAAAGATTAATTTTGAGAATACATGTTATCACCAATAATAACATATATGACACAAATTAATGAATTATACATATAAACAATAATGGAGAAGAAATTGAAAAATGATAAAAAGAAAATGGAAACAAGATATGTGGCCTCTTTGATGTATTTGAATAAGTAGGTTCAGTCTAAAGCTTAATAAAGCTTCGTGCAAGCTAGCGGTTGTCTGTCACTTTCAAGTCAGGTAGTTGACACTTTCATTTCAATAATTTTATCTAATCTAAATCTATATCTGATATCCCCCTAATCATCCTGTCATGTTCCCCTTTTCATACGGCCATAAAATATTTTTAAAAAAATTAATACGATTAGTGGCTTAAAAAGATTCTTTGACAAAGGCCACTTCTTCACGTGAACACCGCTCCCCTTTGCAAATTGCAACTGGCTTCCTCCAGGCAAACGCTGCTAATGTATCCCAACTCATCATCCGTCGGCCCCTTACTACTCTGAATCTTTCTTTTTCCTTTTCCATGCCGGTTCTTTATAGCCAGCTTTCTTTACTCATTCTATAGTTGACTAAAAACTTTGCCTATAATAAACCCTGCTCACCATCCCACAAAATCACAAGCAAAGTAGCAAACACACTCCTCTCGCAGGAAAGGAACTTAGAGCCATTTGACACTCGACGTTCTGCATTTTCTCTTAAGTCTTATAGTCCCAATCCCATTGTTCGGGGTGATCAGAATGGAGGGTGCTTACGCCAGCCCGAGGTTCCTTGCAATGATTCTCATGTTTGCCATGGTTACTGCATTAGTGCAGGGCCAGGGCACCCGAGTTGGGTTCTATTCAAGAACATGCCCTCGAGCTGAATCCATTGTTAGGTCAACGGTTCAAAGACATTTCCAGTCTAATCCTGCCATTGCACCTGGCTTGCTGAGGATGCACTTCCACGACTGCTTTGTCCGGGGCTGTGACGCGTCTATCCTTATTAATGGTTCTAATACGGAGAAGACAGCCGGTCCAAACCTTTTGCTGAGAGGCTATGAAGTTATTGATGATGCCAAAACTCAACTTGAAGCTGCATGCCCTCGTGTCGTTTCATGTGCTGATATTCTATCTCTTGCTGCTCGTGACTCTGTCGTTCTGGTAATCTACTACATTTAATCAATATAATCATCATTTTTTTTAGCATATAGTATTACAAGATGCTATTTTATTACTGTAACTTTGCCCTCTTTGATAGTTATCATACACTAATTATTACCGATTATGCTTCATCCGTATGTACCATGCAGACAAGAGGAATAAACTGGCAGGTGCCTACAGGACGCAGAGATGGGAGGGTTTCGTTAGCATCAGATACCTCCAATTTGCCTGGCTTTAGGGAGTCCATTGACTCGCAAAAGCAAAAGTTTGCTGCCTTTGGTCTCAACACTCAAGACCTTGTTGCGCTTGTTGGTAAGCAATTTTCCTTGGTTTATATATTTTCAAAGTCAGTTGAAAAGTTTTATCCAATTAATATTTGAAATACTAACATTTTCTCTGGCCTTAACCTTTTATTTTCCCCTCTTACAGGAGGACACACCATAGGGACTTCAGCTTGCCAGTTTTTTAGCTACAGACTATACAACTTCACCAACGGTGGTCCTGACCCCACAATCAACCCAGCGTTCGTCCCTCAACTGCGAGCACTTTGCCCAAAAAACGGTGATGGCTCTAGGCGCATTGATTTGGACACCGGTAGTGGTAGCAGGTTCGATACAGCTTACTTCGCCAACTTGAGAAACGGTCGGGGAATTCTTGAGTCTGATCAAAAGTTATGGACCGATGCCTCGACAAGAACTTTTGTTCAACGCTTCTTGGGTCAGAGAGGCTTGCGACCATTGAACTTCAACGTGGAATTTGCTAGGTCCATGGTGAAGATGAGTAATATTGGTGTGAAGACGGGTACTAATGGTGAAATTCGAAGAATTTGCTCTGCCATTAACTAAGTAATTACTTGTGTTAAGATGATCATAATGACGCTCGAAAAGTTTCAATGAGCATATAGTTCTTTATTGATTAGCGTAAGCTGAGAAGCTAATAAGTCCCACTCTTTTTGACAAAGAGAGAAGGGTGATGTTAACTAGCAAATCCAAAAGAAATTACAGGATTTGTCTACTCTTTTGTATTATGATATTTGTATAATTGCATCGTTATTTTAATGGAATATTTGACTTTTGTTTTCTCACATCTTCCTTAGAACTCTATTAACTAATAACTATGCATTTGTCGTTGACAAATGACAAGCTTAATTATTGTTTCCTGCTGTCACGATTAATAATTAAATGTGAAATTACGTGCATGCTTAACAGACAAATTAATCATATAAACAACAATGTCTAGAAATTAGAAAGAAAGAGACAGGCACTTAACCATTTTGTTTGCCACCAATATTATATTGGTTGGACGACTAGATAGACGAGTGGGGTAGTCAAAAAGTGATTGTTCCAGGAAAAAAAATATATATGCAATAAAATTTTCCCAGTTTTATATCCAGATCGATGGACTGTCTCCCCCTGGCAAACATTTTATATATCCAGACAAGTCTTTGTATTGATTGAATGATGACAATCAAAAGGAGGACTATTGCCACAATACACAAACGGAGAAGGTTTAGTATCAAATGATTATTATAATAATTATTATTATTATTTCATTTTATTAAAATTAGTTTTAAATATAAATAAAATTCACATATTCAATGATTCACATGTGAAAAAACCAATACATTAAAATAAATTTTTTTTAATAAAGGTCAAACTATGACTTCATCTATTCCGCGTCTTTGCTGGTGGCGCGGTGCGCCTGAGTGGACGACTCCAGGTCTCTTATCTGTCATTTTGTTTTTTTATTGCTCAGCAAGGACTCTTCATCAGGATAAGCCAAAAGGGGTACTTCCCCTCATCTTTCAGCCCTTTGATAATTTTGGATAAAGACCCAGAAATAATTGATGTTAGAATAATTTTATTCAATAATTTAGCAATTAATAAGGCCAAAAATGGCAAGAACACAAGGCTTCTAAGGAAGCTTGAGCAGTGAAACCGGACTCGATCAACAGCCTGATGATAAGATATAACAAGAAGCAAGCCAAGTAGCAAGCACTTGTTTTATTTAATTATTGCCATTTATGGAACTCTATTAATTATCCTTTCTACTTTGCCACCTAATTTCAAAAGCAACAGCCATTGTTGTTAGGATGATTTATTATCATGCAAATATATATTTTACAATGATATTTTATTTCCCTTAATTATTACTCAAGTGAATTGTTAATTTCAAATTTTGAAATGTTATTTTTTGTACTCTTGCCAAAAGTTTATCATTTCTTATATACTTGATAATTAATATTAATTTATGTATTTTTTCTTTTTGGTTTTTAATAAACTTTTATAGATAATAAATTTTAAAATTGTCTATGTAATTTTTTGTACATGTTGATTACATCAACATGTCAAATCACATGAAAGGCATGTAAGATAAAAGCTAATCATAAATTAAGAAAACAAAGTAAACTTTTGGGCATTTAATAATTTTTTTAAATATCCAAAAGGCTGGAGCTGAAGTGTAAATCAATAAAATTAGTTACTGTAATTGGGATGTCAACCTTTCTTTTGGTCAATCTATACTCATTCTTTAACTTGTACTGTCACGTTAAGGGTTCGCTGATCCAATAACGATTTGTATGTATTCCACGCACGCGCGCTCCACTTTGTCATGGTGCCTAAAATAATGATTAGCAAATTCTATCTACATGGACCACTTCTTCTCGTGAATTACGACCAGCTGATTGAAACAGTTCTTTAAAGGCCGTCATGGCCCCAGCGAAATCTGAACCCCAACTTCGATGGTGGTTCCTTGTAGCCGGCTTTGCTGACTTTTCTCCTCAGGATTTGACTCTTTGAGCCTATAAATTGCATCAAACCAGCACACTCCAAGATCACAAGCTAGTCAAAGCAATCAAACACAAACTTCTCACTAGCAAATTAAATCCCAGAGTTACAGATCGCACTGCAACCCTCTTTTCTTTGTAGTAATTGCTTTCCTCACAAAAATGGCGGGTGGTGGTTTTAAACATTTCATTTTAGTGTTTCTTCTGTTTGCCACGGCAACCACATTGGTGCAAGGCCAAGGCACCCGTGTTGGGTTCTATTCACGCACATGTCCTAGTGCTGAATCCATTGTTAGGTCAACTGTTCAATCCCATTTCCAGTCTAACCCTGCAATTGCCCCAGGCTTGCTGAGGATGCACTTCCATGACTGCTTTGTCCATGGCTGTGATGCCTCTATCCTCATTGACGGCCCTAACACTGAGAAAACTGCCGGTCCAAATCGTTTGATAAGAGGCTATGAAGTTATTGATGATGCCAAGACACAACTCGAAGCAGCATGCCCCAGGGTGGTCTCATGTGCTGATATTCTTGCCCTTGCTGCCCGTGACTCCGTGGTTCTGGTAATTATTACCATGAGATATGTTATTTTACTAGTACAATATAATATTGGAAAAGATACTAGTACTACTAATTTACTTCTACTACAATCACTTAGTTACTTTATGGTTTTAATCTGTATCATATAAATAATCGCTGAGTTAATTCTTTATACAAAATATTCCATGCAGACAAGTGGACGAAGCTGGCAGGTGCCTACTGGACGCAGAGATGGGAGTGTTTCATTGGCATCTGATACCTCTAATTTGCCTGGTTTCAGGGAGTCCATCGATTCACAGAAACAAAAGTTTGCTGCTTTTGGTCTCAACACTCAGGACCTCGTTGCCCTGGTTGGTAAGCAATTCTATATTAGAGACAATATTGTTTTAAATTTATAAGATCAAAACCAGTTGATAAAAGTTTTGTGAGTTTTTTCTAATCTCTCAATTTTGAAATACTAACGTGCACCACCTTTATCCTTTGCCTTTCGTTTCTTCCAACAGGAGGACACACCATAGGAACTTCAGCTTGCCAGTTATTCAGGTATAGGCTATACAACTTCACCGCCAATGGTCCTGACCCCACAATCGACTCTACTTTTGTCTCTCAACTACAATCACTCTGCCCTGAAAACGGAGACGCCAGTAGGCGCGTTGATCTTGACACTGGCAGCGGCAACAGATTCGATACATCTTTCTTCACCAACCTGAGAAATGGCCGTGGAATACTAGAGTCTGATCAGAAGTTGTGGACTGATGCTTCAACAAGACCCATCGTCCAACAATTCTTGGGTGTGCGAGGGTTGCGAGCACTGAACTTTAACGTGGAATTCGGGAGGTCGATGGTGAAGATGAGTAACATTGGAGTGAAGACAGGAACTGAAGGCGAAATTCGCAGAGTTTGTTCTGCTATAAACTAATTAATAATTCGGAGTCTATGTTAAAGCATGGAAGTAACTATTTGTTCATTATGGGCGTAAGCTTAAATATGAATAACAATTCCCGCTCTGGTTGACCACAGAAGCATTGATGCAGACAGTCTAAGTTTGACTGTTTGAATAATTTGTATTCTATACATGTATGATGTATCTGAATGGAATATAATTTATTTGAGTAATGATATCGGGCTCAAGGTTACCAATGATTTAAGATATGGAAAGTGGTATGACACTCAAGGCTCTGCTCTCAAGCATAAACCAAAATGTATACACACCTTGATAAGTCCCCAAGGTTCTTTCATAAAAGGCCTTGCAAACTGTAGCATGCAACTAATCATTTTTAACTAAAACTTGTAGTATAATGCATAAATCAACTGTTAAGTCATTTTACCAATCCATGAAACTTAAAATAACCTATACCAGAGAAATTAAGCATAGAAACCCTCCTTTCTTTGGTTGAGAATTCAGCATAGCAACTTAATTCTTTTTTTCCTTTGAAAAACGTATTTATTAACCTTGAAAATCAATATATCATTTCAAGTTTTTTACTATTACAAAAGGTGAATTCGGCTCAAGAAGCTGTGCTGGTAACACTCAAAGACCTTCCTAGCTATCTCAAAAACTAACACGTAGCTAGCTGCGCCCACACAAAAACTCGGGCAGTGGTCATTTCAAAATAATACTAAGTGGCTGCTTGAACGTACAAAATAAACACCAGACCACATTCCTCCATATTCCTAATTCAATTGTTACCAAGCCATTTCCTTACAAATTTCCCTCCATCATAAGCAAACTCAAAATCCCTACAGGGGTCCCAGCCTCAAGTCATCAAAAGTCCATCACGCACGCATGACCATCATAAAACCCAGGCTTAAAAAACTCAATTCAAGGCCAGCAAAGACACCATAAACACAAGCCACGAGGAGCCACACCACAAGAACCAAAAAATCAGTCATCAAACATCCTGCACTTTAACATAGCCACCATCACGACAAACTATCACCAAGGGTGCTCATGGTCCAAAAATTGCGCAAAAATCAACCCTGCATCGTGGGATCGCTAGTATTCATTTTCACCAAGTCAAAAACCATCACCCAACTACACCTTAGAGGTTTCCCTGATCTGGATGGTGTTCTCTAATTGCATCTGGAGATTCCAATTCCACCAACCTGTAAATTACATCATCCTTTTCCTCTTGAAAAATCAACCTCAATCTCTGGCTCAACCCCCAAATTTCTTCCACATCCTTTTTTAGCACTGAATTTCTTCTCCTATCCATATTTGGGACTGAAGCACTACTTTCTATCTCAACATAACATTCCATCAGCCTATCTTCGTTCTTCCTTCCTCTTCTATTACTCTTCAAACCGGACCTCTTAGTCAGTGTTTTTACCTTTCTCTGACTACTACCTTGTTTCCCTTTCTTCATCCGTTTTCCACTATTTGACAGATCCTTTTCAATTTTTGGGGAATATTTTTTAGTTCTAAATTTTTTCTTTTTGTTCCTTCAATATTTGCTCTTGTCGTATTTCATAATGATTCTATATCCCATATTACCAAGCTTCAGAAGAGATGAATGCTTTAAACAAGCAAGCTCATAGGCTTGCTGTAAGAAAGATAAAAGAGTGGGCTCACGCAGGCTCGAAATTAGGCTAAATTTTGAGAAAATGTATTAACTTGAATTCTCAGCCTATAAATATCAGTCGGTCTCAGTTCATGAAACACCTCTCACTTGTTTACAAAGTTGCTGCCAAGGTGCCCTTGATATATAGCTGGCTTCAATCATCATTAGTCATCAACAACAAAAGCTGATTCTTTCAAATCATCATTACCAATCTTCCTTTGTGGGTAAACCCCTCATCAAAAGGGAAAACAAGAATCAGGGCAGGAGGAAGACAACCCTCCCTCCCCTGGCCTTTTCCTTGCTTTCTGTTTGTTGTGAATGTTTTTTGGTTTGTCCTCAGGGCTGTTTTGATTTTTTTTTTCTTGTCACTGTTGTTTAAGGTTCTGCTACCTCTGTGTCTGCTTTGGGGGTTGTTGCTGGGTTTTTGGATTGATCAGGGGATCTTGTTATGCTATGTTGCGAGACAAACCGCTTGTTCCGATCTTTCGAAATAATTTTTCAAGTCGTCCTTCTCAAAGACATATGTGTTGGAAGACAATCGTGAAAAGTATTGTACCATGATGGAATTCGAAACTGAGGTTGTAAGACTTTACAAAAATCACGGGATACAGCATTCTCTTGACGCCTAAAAGGCAATTCCATCTTGAACAACCATCTTAATGTATTGTCTACTACACAGAGGTTGACTAAATTTCCAATCACCAAGTGTAGAATCACAATCCTCTCCCTCTTGCACTCTATATAGAGATTGAAAAGCTAATATCTTTTTATCCTGTCTGCATATTGTGTGTGTATATATATATATATATTATACAGCTCATTAAATTATGGGTGTAAAGCAACCAACTCATAGGAAAAGACAATAAAATACATTATTTACTATTAGAAGCATCCAGAATGAATAAACTCAAGACTCCATGGAAGAACTCTGCACCAGGCTGATGACTATCGGACTGAAGAACGAAGGAGGAGGCTTGGGAACAAGAAGACGCCAAAACGCAGAGTATAAATAAAAGACAAGAAATTCCATCCAAACGCTGCGCATTTGGTTCAGTTAAAAAGCAATAAGTTAATACATGAGCAACGCACCATTTTGTATATATATAATCATTGTTTAAAAGTTATTTCGGTTAGTTATAACGTAATTAGCCTTTTTTTTCTTTACTTTACTCTTTAACCTCCTGCATATATAGCTCATTTACAGAGCCCTGATCCAATGAGAATTTTGAGATCATTCTCACAGCTTTTAAGCCTCGTTTGTCCTTTCTCTTTCTTGTCACATTCCTCTTTTGTCATTTGCCTCTCACTGCGCTAGTGAAGGGTAAAATAAATCAACATTTGTTTTATGAAAATTTGCAACACATACAATCTCATCCATAACTTGGATCAGACGTCAAGAATCCAAATATTTGTAGGTAACTTTCAATTTAATGGTAGATGTCAAAGGATCAAGCGACCAACTCATCTTGACCTAAGTCCGGCTTGGTCCAACTTAAATGATTGTTTTATTATATTTTGATTTACTTTTTTTAATCTCAGAACAAAAAAAAAAGATTTACTTTTATTTAAGACAGCTGGCTTTGGCAAGGCAGACAATTACAATGTTGAACGTATTGTTGGTAGCTTGATGTATTTTAACATTTTGTTTTGTTGATGAATTGAACTGGTGATGCATTGTTCATGCTCCTGCCAAGTGGAATGTGAAAGACGTGTTGCGCAGCACATAAGGCTGAGATCAGAAACAACTTTTGAATCTGCGGTCAATAACTTCAATTTGAGCTTGGAATTACATAATTTAACATTTTCCTAGCTACTAAGTAATTGATATGAGTATCACATTCTGTATAGTCAGAAATTTGCAACACGTGGGGCATTCAGGAATATTACTAGTAATATATCAAATCAAATGCTTATTATAAATTGACGATCTTCAAGTGTTGACAAGGAACAGAGGAAGCTTCCACTAAAACTTGCAAAAGGAAAAAGGTTAGTACATTTATTCCTTTATGCACCTAATTTTTAATCCCTCACATTTTGAATAATTTTGTCAAGAAAGGAAGGAAAGCAATTATTTTAAAATGAGAAAAGTTTTTCATTTTTTTTTTTACAAACTAAACACTGTAAATCAATTAAAATGCAAGGAATGTTCCTTGCTTGCGCCATAGCAAGTGCCCCCATAGGTTTTATGAGTCAGGGCTCTTGAAAGGTGTTATAAGGTGTTATGAGGCTTCATAAGTAGGTCTCTTGAATTTCTCCGGACCGCACATCATCCCCTACCCACTACAAACTTATTTTAAATCATGAAGCAATGAGCAATCCTTAACTAGAAAGTGAGCCAATATCTGTTTGACGTTTCTACCGACTTCCAGGGCGCACTAAATGCTCATTAAAGGAAAGTTAGATTAACTCTTCAAAAAAAAAAGAAAAGAAAAGAAAAGTTAGATGAAATTTATCCCTTATGCCATGGATGAATCAAACTCATCAATCAGAAAATCTCTATCCATCAAAGTAGAAAAATAAATAAAGAAATAACTCCGTAGAAACCCAGCTTCTAGCTTAGTGGTGGCCACACGTCACACATTGTTATTGCACCTCCAACATTAGCAGTCGTACCTCCTCCCAAAACCTTGGGGCCCCTCTCCCAAGGAGGAGAAAAAAAGGTCACCACCCTATCAACTATATTTAGTAGTCGAAACTGAATCAACCTTAGTTGGTCATATGCTTGAAGCAATTAATTTAATTAAACCCTTATTAAGAATATAATTTGTTATATCATCTAAAGCTGTTATCTCACCATCCATCCAAGGCTTAATTTCAGAGGGTAAAGCCGATGGAAAGATGAATAAAAGTCCATTGGGTACTGGAAATGGACAATAACTTCAGCAATTACAAGAGAAAAATAAGCACAACCCTAATAACTCCATAGACTTTATTAGTCTAATTCTCATAGACTTTGGTTCAACGGTCAAGCCTTTTGAGTGGGTAAGTCTTGACTCTTGAACTATTCTATACGTATGCTACCTGTTTTGGTTTGCATGGGTGGAGCCTGCATGTAAGAGCCGTGGGCCTGTCCGTCACCCAATGCAATCAATGTTGAGGCCGAACCAATCTATCAAGACTCTATACAGAAATTGGATAAAATATAATTGGACATTGAAATTGTAACACGATTATATTTTCGCTTGCTGTACACTTTTATATTCCAAAACATTTTAACATACAAGAACCCACCCACTTTTATTATCCTTATCATTTTGCCAAGAAATTTAAAGGAGAATAAGATCTTGCATGCATGCGACAAACCATAATTTTTTTTGCTGGAATGATTAATTAAAGCTTCATTTGATTGGTATTATTACTGTTTTTTTTTAAAAAAAAAGTAATAGAAAGCAAGGACTAACACAAATATATAAAAAACAAATAACAAATAGATCAACAAAATGTAACTAAATATCATTCATTTTGTGTTGCAACAGTCTTATTTTCTTATTGTTTAATCATTTTAGAATTTGTACTCTCCACTTTTAGACAAATGGATAAGACTTAAGTATGATTTTTTAAGTCAAGTTTGGAAGATTCTTTTTTTTTTAAATACTTAAATAAAATTCAAAATTCAAACTGATAAACTGAAAGATTTTGTTTTATAAATCAAATGTACAAAATTTGAAAAAATTTAAATACATTATGGTATTTTATTTAAATAAGTATTATTATTAAAAATTATGATAGTTTTTATTGTTTAATAAGTAGAAATTATATTTTTTATCTAGACATATTTTCAATTAACTTTTCACACATTATTGATCTTTTCATTGAATTCCATTAATCTATTGATCTTCATTTTCAAATTTAATTTTTCTTTGATCTTTACGAAATTAGCCTAAAAACTTTATCTAAATCTTGTTTTCTTTAATGAAATTTTAGTTTTTCAATTAACTAAGGGAATTCAATCAATTATTAATGATGTGGCTAAAATTTGAGACTAACGCAGGCACAAAAACGGGACAGGGCATTTCCGTTGGTTCTTTAAAGGCAAAGGAGCCCAGCAGACTCAAAAGACTAAAACCATCTCATTGTAAAATAGAACTTGGAATTCTTCTGGCTTTCAATAATGGAGGTTCCCCTATAGCCGGCTTTGCTTACTTTTGCTCAGCTTTTCATTTTCTGACCCTATAAATGCGTCAGATTCGCCAACCTCAAGATCACAAGCTAGCCAAAGCAGTAAACACAATTTCTTAGCTGCATTCTCTTTTCCTTGTCTTTGTTACTTCACAGGGATGGAGGGCATTTACTCCAAGCAGAAGTTCTTTTTAGTGTTTGTTTTGTTTAACATAGTTGCCACATTGGCAAAAGGCCATGGCACGCGTGTTGGGTTCTATGCAAGCTCATGTCCGTTGGCTGAATTAATAGTTCGTTCTACAGTTCAATCCCACTTTCAGTCTGATCCTTCAGTTGGTCCTGCCTTATTGAGGATGCATTTCCATGACTGCTTTGTCCATGGCTGCGATGCTTCTATCCTCATTGATGGCCCTGACTCCGAGAAAAAAGCTCCTCCTAACCTTGGAGTGAGAGGATATGAAGTTATTGATGATGCCAAGGCACAACTTGAAGCCACGTGTCCTGGAGTTGTCTCATGCTCTGATATTCTTGCCCTTGCTGCCCGTGATGCTGTTGTTCTGGTAATCAACAAGCTCAACTTACTAGCAATTAGTCACTAGAACAAACCTTTCGTTGTTCTTCAAGCCTCTGAAGCTTTTTTCCTGACATTTCATACAGGCAAACGGACCAAAGTGGGAGGTGCCTACGGGACGCAGAGATGGAACGGTTTCGTTGGCATCTGATACTGACACCTTGCCTGGCTTCTCGGAGTCAATAGAAGAACAAAAGAGAAAGTTCGCTGCATTCGGTCTAAACACTCGGGATCTTGTCACCCTAGTCGGTAAGCATTCTTTTCTCATTTTTCTAGCTATGGAGTGATTTGAATTGCCAAATACATAGAACATAGGCCTGCCCTTTTTGCTCTGTACAGACTACATCTAATATTTAAAATGCCTTGAATTGCTTTTCTGTTAATAGGGGCACACACCATAGGAACTACAGCGTGCCAATTTTTCAGTTACAGATTATTTAACTTCACTGCAGTCGGCAATGGCGCTGACCCATCAATCAACCCTGAATTTGTCTCTCAACTACAAACACTCTGTCCGCCAAGTAGTGACGATACGGGACGTGTTGCATTGGACACGGATAGTGTTGATTCATTTGATGCATCTTTCTTTGAGAATTTGAGGAATGGCCGAGGAATACTAGAGTCTGATCAAATGTTATGGACCGATGCTTCTACCAGATCCATTTCTCAAAGCTACTTGGGTGTTAGAGGCTTGCGATCGTTGAATTTCAACATAGAATTTGGCCGGTCAATGGTAAAGATGAGCAACATTGAAGTGAAAACTGGAACTGATGGTGAAATACGCAAAATATGTTCTGCAATAAACTAATTATAACCTTGCACATTGATGGAGTTGAGAACACTATTGTATTAATTCTTACATAGTTTTTAAGCGCCAGCTGGTAATGTAATACTGCTCACGTGCCTGACAAAAAATGAAATTGGCAAAGTCGAATTGTCTTGCTCGATCTTACATGTTCCTATATTATACCATTCGAATCTAATTAATTATATGGTTTAAATAATTTTCTACTTGAAATGGTCAAGATACTGTTTCATCACATGCATGTTATCTGGAAACGATCCACTAGCTCAACATTTATAAAATTTGTCCTTATTTTAATTTATTAAAATGAATTCAATACACATTATGTGATGATAGGTACCCTTCACATCTAGTTGCAACGTTGCAAAGTAACAAATGGAACACAAGATTCCTTTCTTGGCCAATATTAAACCATGAGATTCAACAACAATAAGAGTAACATAAAAATTGTGAGGATATATGAATGAATATTCATCTTAATTATGTTTGATAATGATTCTCGGAACGTAGTTAAATGGGTCCAGACACCAGAATCTGTTCCATGGAGATTAAGGAGATGGACCCTTCATATCGAAATGCTAAAGATTCGAGTGAGAAGGCGGGAGATTAAGCATATTCTAGGGGAGGCTAATCAACAAGCTGATAATTTGGCTAAAACAGGAATAGGCAGAGAGGTGGACCTCGTGAACGTCTGGGAGGACACTCCGAGTAGGAGAAGTGAGATGGGGGCAGGAGTGAGTAAATGATGAGCAAGATTTTTTGTGGTTCTTTTTGTGAAGGTTTAGGTGCATCTCTGTGTGACTGGATGCATCTTTTGCTTGCTGTGGTGTTGGCCTGTTTGCATGAAATCTTTCCTGCCTGATTACTGTTCTCAGTATTGACTGGTAGGCGGACAGCTTGTTTGTTTTGTTGTTGGAGAGAGTCTATGACAGATGTTTCTGATGCTCCATTGGTTCCTGAGGTAGGGAGAGGTGGTGAAAGGGTTGCCTGATGCTGATGTGCTCTGATTGAAAGGTTGAGATTAAAGACAACATTTAAGGAGCTGGAATTGTGAGTTTATTGCTTAGGAAAATCTATATTAGTGGCCTTAGCTTTGCCCAATCATGTAATTTTGAGGGTTATGCCATCACTGGGACTGCGCATAGGTCTTAAAATTGCAGCTCTTTTCTGTACTTTTGATTGGAGCTTAACCATTGGTTACTCCAATTTAATGAATTACTTTAACTTTAAAAAAAATGTTTGAGAAGCTGCCAGGAGCTCATGTTTTGATGATAATAATCGTCAAAATTATAAGTGCGAAAAGAATAGAAGAAATAAAAGAAGCTAATTACTCTGTGGTGTCCAGTTCTAAATAGCAAATATGATTAAGATTAGATTTTTGTTAAAACTGGATATAACTTAAATAATTCATTTGCACTCAAGTATTTGATTCATTGGTTGATGTATTATCTCTTAATTTAAAGAGCAAGAGTTTGAATTTTTTTTCTCTCTCAATTATAAAAAAAAAAACTTTCATGATACGAAATAAATATTTATTATTTCATTCAAAGCGACGAGAGATATTACCCTCCTTTTCAAAATTTTGTTTGCTCTTGTGATAATAGTGGTCATGTTTATAAGGGTTTGGTTATGCTTTCAACCTTGTTAATTTATTTCAATTTCTTCATATCAATAAACCACAATAAAAAAAATAAGAAACTTATCAAAGGGAGGGAGGTAATGTATTTTATTTTCAGGTAAATTACCTATTATGAGCTGGAAGCAACAAGAACAGCATTGTAGGTAGCTTGGGAAAAGCTTAAAAGAAAATTAAACATAGAATATCCACAAGAAACCTGTTGGTTCTCTTGGAAAATCCGAAAGCTGGTGGTGGAAATAAGGTAATTATACCCATTTGGGGATATCGATCATGAGGGATGTTACAGTCAAATTTAGGAGATATGTAAGAACTTGTTCGCCTAATTCTTGGGTTGATTCAACTTCAAGTTAAGTTAGGAAATACCTCCAATTTTGAAGTATAAAAGTACATAGAATTCATCTATTTTTTCATTTGTTTATACTACCATTTTAAACATTCCCATTTAGCAATCCTGATATAGTGAATTTGTGGAGTGCCCAGAGTTTTACTGATCCGAGTATCACCCTGTTAATTCTGTCTAAAGCACAGTTTTCCATATATTTCAATATTTAAGGATCCTATCCTTCTCTTCAACCAAAACGGTCCATCATGTTTAATGTTTCCTAATATGCGCATTCATATGTATCATCCACACATCCTGAAATAAATTAAATATCCCAAATATGTAGAATCATAAGGGGTAACGTCGTCTTCAGGTTCATAGTAGCTGGAGATCCTCAAAAACAATGCAGGACTGCCCCCTTTGGATTTTGGATTCTCAGCAATAAAATCCAAAAGGAAACAGCTCAGAGTTTGTCCTTGTTTTTACCGTCCAAAAAGATCACTGATGGCTGTGATGGCATTTCATGAGACTATTTTTTGATTTTATCAAGCAACCAGAGACATTAATTTTCTTCCTGTTAGGAGTCATTACTGCAGAAACAAACACAAGTTTCACTTGATACTTGAGTTATGGGGTCCCTTCAGTTTCCCAAATATCTTCTTGTTATGATTCTTTTTTCTTTGTGTCGCAGTTCTATTGCTCAATATGAACAGGAAAGGGATGCTCTATATGCTCTCAAGCATGTGTTTAATGATTCATTCCTAAATGATAACTGGAATGGGCTTCAGTGCTATGAAAATACCTCATTCTGGTATGGCATTCAGTGCATCAATGGCCGTGTCACTGCAATATTATTGGAAGGTGGGGGCTTATCTGGGAAAGTAAGTGCTGATGCATTTTTTGTGCTTTCTGAATTGATTACCCTCAGCTTCAGGAACAATTCAATGTCGGGGAATATAATGGATTTCTCTTCCAATCAGAAGTTGAAGGATATTGATCTGTCAAGAAACATGTTTGACGGGCAAATCCCACGTTCACTGCTTGCTCTTAATTTCTTGGAGTCCTTGCAGCTTCAAGATAACCGTTTGACAGGTTCAATCCCAGAATTCAACCAAGCCAGTTTAATAGCGTTCAATGTCTCCAATAATAATCTCAGCGGTCCAATTCCAGGAACTCACACTCTCAAATCCTTTAGCGCTACTTCCTACTCTAACAATAGCCCTGGCATGTGTGATTCATCAAATCCTGATACCTGCTATTATACCGCAAATGATACAGCAGGAGAATCCAGAAAGAAATCTGTTGCAACTATATTTATTGTTTTCGATATTATTGGTCTAGTTACTGTGATTTTGCTCCTCATTCTTTACTGTAAGAAATCGAGGAAGCTTAAGAAACTCATGAAGAGAAACCGCCTTGAAGAAAAAGATGACGAGGATTTAGAGTTGGAGGCCGGGGGCAGTTATTACAAGGAAAGTAAAGATGAGAGCAATATTCAGGCAGGGGAGCAGAGAGTCATTGCAAAGGAAGAGAAGGGGAATCTCATATTCATGGGGGATGAAGCAGGCTTTAACCTAAACGATCTGCTGAGAGCTTCTGCAGAAGGGTTAGGTAAAGGGCTTTTTGGCAGTAGTTATAAAGCTACGTTGGAAGGCAGGCCTGGTGTTGTTGTAAAACGCCTGAGGGATTTGAAACCACTGAGCAATGAGGAATTCACGCAGCTGCTACGAATAATTGCAGATCAAAAGCATCCAAATTTGCTTCCGTTACTTGCTTACTACTATTCCAAAGATGAGAAGTTGTTCGTCTACAGATATGCCAAGAATGGAAACCTTTTCAACCGCCTTCATGGTGAGATTACCGATAACAAATTTTTACGGTTATAGTTGTACTAATACATATCTTCTTTTTAAATAATGATATTTCTTCAAGTTCTGAGAAAAACCTGAATAATCATATGGGATCAAGGAATATATTTCCCTCTCTGGCCTCTTTAAATAATGATATTTGAAATTGATGGATAATGCAGGAGGGAGAGGTACCAGAGAGCGGATTCCTTTCAGATGGAGCTCTAGATTATCTGTTGCTCGAGGAGTGGCACGGGCCCTGGAATATCTTCACCTCAATCCTAGCTCCTCCCTCTGCCCTGTTCCCCACGGCAACCTGAAATTGTCAAACATTCTCCTTGACGAGAATGACACGGCTCTTGTTTCCGATTACGGTCTCACTTCCCTCGTAGCCCTTCCCATCGCATCTCAACGTATGGTCTCATACAAGTCTCCCGAATACCAGAACTCGAAAAGGGTTTCAAGGAAGTCTGACGTCTGGAGTTACGGCTGCCTACTGCTGGAACTATTAACAGGCAGACTCTCAGTTCACTCAGCTCCTCCAGGCATCAATGGGGTGGATCTTAGTAGCTGGGTTCACCGAGCTGTTAGAGAAGAATGGACAGCTGAGATATTTGATATGGAGATATCTGTGCAGAGAAGTGCGGCTCCTGGAATGCTGAAGCTGCTGCAGGTTGCCATTCGTTGCTGTGATAAGATCCCGGAGAAACGGCCTGAAATGACAGAAATTGTAAGAGAGATAGATAACATAAAATATGTTGCATCAGATGATGAAGATGAATTATCTGTGGATCAATCGTTAACAGACGAGTCTTTCTCCACAAATGCCTCGTCAGTAGTAGTAGCTGGTAATGGGAGAGGTTGGTAAGATTTTGACTGGATCCTCAAAATACTCAAGATCTATCCTTTTTAATCAGGAAAAAAAATGAGTGCAAGATCGACAAGAGATTCCAATCATGCAAACCAGAGTCAAGCTTTGAAATTTTTGTTGCAGTATGTGACGTTCCACGTTGAATCTATCGGGTTTTCTTCCATTTCTCTTTTGTAGCAGCAGTAGCAATCTCTCTAAATTTCTCCAATAAATTACTTATCTTTTTCATTTCATCCGTTCCTGTTCTTCGTGATTTGTCTGAAAATGTTGTGAGTTCGGAAAGTTTGACTTGCAAATAACAAATAAGAAGCTCATTCATGTATGAATTAAGTATTTGGATAGAAAATTTTTTTATCTCTTTATGAAAATCAATTAATTTTTTGTAATTATTGAGCAGCAGAAACATGTCTCATGATGGGTTTGTTTCATTTCATTTGCAAGCATGTCACCAAACCTCCCTCTATATTCGATTCTTATACCATTCATTTTCCAAGAAGGTGTTAAATCACAAAATTTGCAATTATTCTTAATTAAAAGCTAAAAAAGAATAAGAAGGAAATCATCACATGCCATTATATAATAAAGAGCTTAATGCAATTGTAATAAAATAAAAATCATTAAATGTCAACTTAGATTATATTATTGCTGTTAATGCCTATTTTAGGATTTAATTTTTACCAAAGATTTTCATTTCAAGATTCAAATTATTATTTCGTTTGAATTAAGATGCAATCTTTTAGATTTTATTCATTGAGAAACATTGATAATAAAAATTAGTAAATTACCATTAATAAAATTAAAGAATTCAAAAATTATTTTGTTTATTGAGTTCTTTTAAATTCATAAAACCAAAAACATTATATCCTAATTTTTTTAAAAAAATAATATTGAATCTGTTTTGAAATATAAACTAAAAGAATAATTATAAAAAAATATTTAGAGGGAGAAAGAAGATTTCATTGAAATATGTATTTACAAATAAAGTGAGTTATTTATTTATAGACTAATAACTCCTTATCTAGATAGAATTTATAAAATAAAGATAATACTAAAACATTAGATATATGAATTAAATCCTAATCTTGATCCAATCTAATCTACATCTAAATCTAAATATACATAACAAAATAGATATTCACACATATATTCATAACACTCCTTTGGAATATCCATTCGATTAAAAACATGCCTCGTTAAAACTCTTATTAGGAAAAAATATCATGAGAAAAAATCTGAGTAAGGGAAAAATAGTATATAATTTTTTTAAAAAATATACTTTTGAAATACTATCGTATTAAAAACTTTATTAAGAAAAACTCAATGGAAAAACCTTAATGAAAAAAAAATATAGTACATATTTTACTCTCCTAATAATTGCATTATTTAAAATCTTTAAAACATTGTATTCTAATCTTTTGTACCAATTTTTCAAACATTATAGTAGGAAAGGCTTTGGTGAATAAATCTACTAGATTATCATTTAAACGAATTTATTGAATACTAATATCTCTTTTTTTTTGGAGATTATATGTGAAGAAGAATTTTAGTAAAATATATTTTGTTCTATCACCTTTAATATATCATTCATTTAACTGTGCTATGCAAGTGGTATTATCCTAATATAATGTTATTGAATTTTCTTCTTGATTGACAAGCCACACATTTTTTGAATAAATTGAGTTACAGATCTTGATCAGACACATTCAGGACTTGACTCATAAATTGCTAAAATTTCTGCATGATTTGAAAAAGTAATAACTATAGTTTGTTTTATAGAATACTATGAAATAATCGTACTTATATATATGAACAAATAACTTATCTGAGATCAAATCTTGTGTAGATCAGATAAATATTCTGTATTTAAATAACCAATTAAATTTAATTTTAATACATTCGATTAATATAAGTCTATGACCATTGTTCCTCGCAAATATCGAAGTATACATTTAATTCTATTTCAATGTTTTCAAATTGAAGAAAAATTATATCTTACTAATAAATTTATAGTAAATTATATATCAGGTCATATATTGCTAGCAAGATACATTAGTGTTTCAATTGTACTAAGATATGATACTTCCAAACCAAGAAGTTTTTCCTCATCCTCACAAAGTTGGAAAGGATCTTTTCTCACATCTAGTGACCTTACAATTATTAATGAACTTAGTAGATATGCTTTATCCATATAAAATTATTTTAGTACTTTTTTATATAATTTAATTGATGGATAAAAATTTATTTGTCAAGTGTTCAATCTAAAGACCTCAGACAAAATTTTATTCTTCCAAGGTCTGTCATCTCAATTTCTTTTTTTAAGTAATTTAGGGTTTTTAATAACTCTTCAAGAGTTCTAATAAATAATGTTTAGGTTATCAATATAAACAACAATTATGACAAATTTAGATCCAAATCTTTTAAAAAACACATAAACATATAAAATTATTTTTATAACCTTCTTTTAATAAATTTTCACTAAGATGATTATATCAAATGCGTTTACATTGCTTTAATTCATAAATATATTTATTTAATTTGATCAAATAAATTTCTCAAGAATTGTGTATGTGCTT